GAAAAAGGGTGGCGCTCCCGCCGCCAGCCACACTGGGGAAGGGAAGAACTTGGGCCTCACCCCTCGTCCACCTCTTCCAGCTGTATTAAAGGAACTTGCTGGAGGAATAAAATATGTACAACGGGGTGAACGAGCAACTAGAGCAGGGTGGAGGGTGTACAGGATCACAGTGGCACTGAACAGCATGCAGACAAAGGAAGTTGGATTGCTTTTAAAGTAGGAGGGAGGATAGTGTTACCGATGGGGCGGAGTCCGGACCCCCAGATTCTGCTACCCGGTCAGGGTAGGTGCCTCACCCAACTCCATACCCATGCATAAGATAGCGCTTCTTTACCTTTCACTAGTGCAGTGTTTCTCGACCTGTGGGGTCATGACCCAGAAGTGGGTTGCAAGAATATATGAAAGGGTCGCAAACTTTATGGAATCTCCTCCAAAGGAGGAACATGTGTGAAACCGCAGGTTTCCCTTTGCAGCTGGCAGAGATCCTAGCCTGCAAGGGGCTGCCTGGGGCTGGGGGGAGTGGGAGGAGGGTGATGGTGGGGGGCATGTACATGTGCACGCACACATGCAGGTGGTAGCCAGGTAGCATGGAGAGCAGCTCCTACAGCTGCCTGCAGGTAAGTCTATGGGGCAGGGGTGGGGGGCACAGGCGATGTGTTGGAGAGGTATGGGGGGCACGTGTCTTACCAGATTGGTGCACCCACAGGGCCACAGCAGGCATGGGGCTGTAGCCTGGTTGGAATGAAATGGGCAAGAGTTGCCTCTGTGGCCCTGTGGGCAGGACTCAGCGTGGGAGGGCAAAGCAGGGCAGCAAGACTTGTTGCTGTTGCTGGGACCCCTTCACCAGCTGCACTGCCAGTACTGTGAGGAATAACGGATCGGGGGAACCCTCTGTCCTCATCTCCTGCTCCCGTATGGGGCTTTAGCTCTACTGTGCTACTATGGCCAAGCCAGTGCTGCCAGTCCCCTCAGGCTATGTCTTTACCTTGGAGGAGAGGTGGGCACCACGGGTGGCTGAGAAGAGCGGCAGTTATGGCTGGGCCATGGCAGTGCAGTAGAGCCACAGCCTGGCACTCTGTTATTCTTTGTGCTGCTGGCGGCTGTTGCGGGGTCCCAGCAGTGGTGGGAGCAGTAATGAGTCTCGCTGCCGGGAACAGGAGGAGGGGAGCGGGTTGGAGGTCTGGGACGCCAGCAGAGCCAGGGTGCTGTTTTCTACTTACACTATTTGCTGGGTTGGGACTGGCCATCGATGTTTACAATGGATCCTGGTACAAAAAAGGTAGAGAGCCACTGCGTTAGTGAGTCATGAGATTCATTAACGTTTTAAAGTGGCTTGATCTGTAACGTAGCATTTCAGAAGTAGCCCCTCCTTCTGTAGTCCCAAATGACTATGTAAGATAGAGTGCGGCCAAAGTCACCTGAGGGAGGGCATGAAACCACACCTCCAAACAGAGACTCAGCTGAGATGTAAACTAAGGACTTGCTAGAACCAGAGGAACTACATTGGTTTAACTTCTTGATGCAAAGCTCTTTTTGCATTAAGAGAATCCTGATTTAATTTTACTTAAACTAACATTTTACTGATTTCAGTTAAAAAAGACCCCTTTAGCCTGAAATGAATTAACCCATTAGGAAATACAGTGCCTCTCTTCAGAGGGGTCTTCTTGTTATTAGAATACAACTTTGACACTGCAGTTCACATACAACCCTCGCCCCCTCAACAGCAAACATAATGTACACAACTCAGGAACAAGAAGGTAAGAAAGCACCCTTAAAATTGATTTTTTTTATACCACAGAAGTGCTTGATATGTCACAAAGCCCACTAGGGTCTTCACTATTGTTGTTCATTCATTTTTTGTTGAAAAAATGCAGATGTTATACTGCTGGGTGATGTGATAAAATATGGAGAGAGAGAATTAAGAACATCCACACATGGACTTGCACCAACATTGATTAAAAGCCTTAATACAGACCTCAGGCTAGATCCAATAAATGGCTTACATAAAACATAGGCTCCAAATTGTGAGTCAACTCCCCTGTCCAGCTGCCACTTAACCCTGAAAGTGTGTAAGGCCTGAGGTACTTTTTTTTTTTTAAAAGGTCCCTAGAACTGCCCAAGTCTGAATAACTCAGGACCTAGCTCATGCATAACCCCAGTCAGGATCCAGAAACCAGGTGTAAGAATAAGTCTGTACCCAGAGGCAGACAAGGTTCTTTGGGCGAATCTGATATCTTTTATTAGACCAACTAAATAGTTGCAGAACAATATTTAAGCAAGCTTTCAGGTTCCAGGAAGAGCACACACCAACTGCTGAAACTTCCTTAGCCTGACGAAGGGTTTTTGAACTCGAAAAGTTGCTTAAATATTGTTTTTCAACTATTTAGTTGGTCTAATAAAAGATGTCAGATTCACCCAAAGGACCTTGTCTGCCTATGTCCTTAGACCAACACGGCTACAACCTACACCTCTATACCCAGAGTACACCTAACACACAGGACCAGTTTCCATGCAAAATACAGCTGCAGTCACTTCTCTTAAAATGACCTAGCAAAGATGGTGCTTAGGTTTGTCTTCATTTTACATAATGGCTTAGTGCAGTAGTTCTTAACTTCGTTAGAATCAAGGCACCCCTCCATAACTTTTGTGAATTGAACTGGACCCCATTTCATAAACCAATTTATTACAGTGCTTACTTTTATGCAAAGGGGCTGGGCAGCAGAGATGGGGGAATAGGCTGTGGGGGTAGAGGAATGGCCAGGCAGGGAAAATTCTGAGTCAGATCTTATCTGCTTATCTCCTCACAATTGGCTTATCATACCACCTCATACTGCAGTGGCACCCTTCAAAGGATTTTTTTTTGGGGGGGGGGGGGGGGGGGGGTGGCACCCCAGGGTTAAGAATCACTGACATAGTGGCTAAAGCATGCAGGAAGTGTGAGACATGCATTCAATTACATGCTGACCTGAGGGGGCTGAAACCCACATCTCTCAGGGGAATGCTACAACTACCAGGCTGTAGGCTACAGTGGGTTCAAGCACTC